CTTGGCAAAATATTGACAAATACTCCGAAAATTCAGTCGGTGACCATATGATTTAATTTTTATAACAATTGAATTGAAATTTAATAAAGCCAGTTATGGCCGCGTTTAAGAAACGGTGTATGTACGACATAGTATGTCGTACTAACTATGTCGTTATAACGACATCCCAGTCATACTAGCGACATCCCATTTCGTAATGAAGAACATAGATACATCTCGGTTAATTCTTATAAGAGTTATCACCCTTCACTATTTATACGTGTACTTTTTGCTTTTTATCTGAAGCAAAATAACTTTCACATAATGGCGAAAATAGTTTAATTTGTAGAGTAATATACCGGGGTATGTAGGACTAAATACTTTCAAATGTCATACTCGCAATGTCTTTTTCATTGTTCAGTGAAGCTTGAAATTAGGTTAAAACTGTAGTTTGGCATAAACCTTACATAGTTTATCATATAATGTACATGTGTATAAAGTTCAAAGTTGAAGTCACTTGAACTTCATCGTATACTACTATATAAACAAAACCTACACCTTATACGGGACAAACGAACAGATGGATATACACATAGATCAGAAAACGCAAATCACCTCTACTTTCCTTACAAGAATAACAGTAAGTCAAGACACAGGGTCCTCTTTTTATTTATTGTGTAAAAGAAATTTATCACTGTCGCCAAAACAAAGTTTCCTTCAAACTATTTTAACGCCGCCACATAATGTATGTGCTTGTCCCAAGTCAGGAAACTGTTATTCTGTGGTTGTCGTTTGTTGTTGTGTTACATATTTGATTTTCGTTCATTATTTTGTACATGAAGTAGGCCGTTAGTTTTCTCGTCTGAATTGTTTAACATTTGTCATCGCGAGGCTTTTATAGGTTACATTTCTGTAAATATCGACAATGCAATTTCCCACAGGAACTCCTTTTACGGCTAAACTGTACCACTTTTACTATGAAGTTTTGAAAAAAAATATATTCTAGAATGGAAAGTTCATGTGCAATACTATTTTTTTTCAAAGGTCAACATATAGGGCTGTGCGGCATATTTTCAACGTTTACATGCCCCGAACTTCTAAGAGTTTAAACTTACACTAAAATTCTGTACTACCCCTACCTTGACTTTATGTTTTCCACACATTTCTACGAGATGAAACATAGAGATCATACATTGTATCTGGGAACCAGTACGTAAACAAAATTAATTATCTATGAATATTATATATCTCCCCAAAAGAGGCTTGGTTTGTGAAACAGCTGTATGTATGAAGTTACCAGTCTGTTATATGAATTCACTCAAAATTTTATAGAACTGACTGTTGGAATCTGGTTTTTGCATAAATTCAAAGCACAGTTATTGTTTTCTATACAGAAGACCTTTATAATAATAAAATCATAGCCATTACAGGCTAAATTATCTATTTTATGACCCAGGGGCCTGAAATTTGCAAAATAATTCTGCTGTTTCTCTGCATATGGAATATTTAGTACCTTTTTTTAGGATAGAACACACTATTTTTAGTTTTATTGAGGTATTTTTGTATCTCTAGCTTGTTTTTTTCTATGCCGCAGTCACAAGAAACCACAGGTGTTACGGCTTAGGTTCTGGTTTTCGACACCCCAACAACAATATTCATCAAAGATCTATGAGTTTAAATGACTGCGAAGAGTTAATATAAGCTCTGCTTAACAATTTTAATTACAAATGAGCATATATAATGAATTTACTTTGCATACAGGGCCTTAGGTAAACTATGCATAATTTAAACTGTGAATTTATGCTTAGTCATCATAGTAATGGCCAAGGGTTACACAATCTTCATGAAATATTTATATAACTTTATATTTGAGTTAATTTCATTAAAACTCTGAAGATAAACCAGATTTGGTGAAATTCTACATGTTCTCTTTTTTCACCCACATGTAGGTTGCGTTTCTGTAAATATCGACAATGCAATTTCCCATAGGAGCTCCTTTTACGGCTAAAACTGTACCACTTTTACTATGAAGTTTTGAAAAAAAATATATCCTAGAATGAAAAGTTCAAATGCACTAGTATTTTTTTTTCAAAGATCAAAATATAGGGCTGTGCGGCATATTTTCAACGTTGATATGACCTGAACTTCCAAGAGTTTAAACTTACTCTAAAATTCTGTACTACCACTACATTGACTTTAGGTTTTCCACAGATTTCAATTTGACCGCTATGCATATGTATATTTACTGGTAACATTTCCAAGTTATGTCTCTACGAGATGAAACATATAGATCATATCTGGGAACCAGTACGTAAACAAAATTAATTATCTATGAATAGTATATATCTCACCATAAGAGGCGTGGATTGTGAAACAGCTGTATTTACAAAGTGCAACCTATAGCTGACTATGTGGTATCGGCTTTGCTCATTGTTGAAGGCCGAATGGTGACCTATAGTTAATAATTTTTGTGTCATTTGGTCTATTGTGGAGAGTTTTCTCATTGGCAATCATACCACGTCTTCTATTTTATAATTATTCATCTGTAATCCTTCATATATAACACTCTGTCTTTTGAGGTGAAAAGGTTCATTAATCCACCAATCTGTTTAACTTTCGGAACTTATTTAACAAACGTTACTGGATTTGTAAGAAAAACTCAAAGCTAGAATTCTGATATCATCTGTAAATAAATATTGCAGGTGTACTTTTCATCCATAGAACCTCTGTACAGTATGATATGAGGGTTCGTAGAAAGGTCGTTAATTACTATTACTCTAGTGTTATTTTGTCAATGAACATAAACTCTATTGCGTTTTTTTCTTTTTTTGATTTGCAGACCTTGAAAAAATTAAGAACGGAACGACTTGACCAATTGAAACCAACTGTCTGCTTGTCATCCTTCAACTTTTTAAAGCCACGTCCGTTCGATGATACATGCATGTACTTGTTCATATCAGATTGCAATATCCTTCGGTCAGGACGGATGATGCTCTTTCCAAAATTATCTATTTAGATTTTCAGTTATAATTCAACAAGCAAAAGTTGAATGCCAAGTGTAACCAAAATATGCGACAAGAGCCATTTAACAGCCCAGTAGTCAGCACTTCTTTGTTAACATGAATTATCATTGAAATGGTCATTACTATAAATTAACTGTTTTACAAAACTTTACATGTTTTAAATACTAAGGCTTTCCTACCTCAGGAATAGATTACCTTAGCTGTATTTGGCAAAACTTTTAGGAATTTTTGGTCGTCAATGCTCTTCAACTTCGTACTTTATTTGGCCTTTTTAACTTTTTTTTATTCGAGCGTCACTGATGAGTCTTTTGTAGACGAAACGCGCGTCTGGAGCAAATACAACATTTCAATCCTGGTATCTATATATGATGAGTTTATTTACATTACTTTGAATATAAGGAAGGACGAAATATCATAAGAGACTATTACATATATTTTCATCTAGAATTCACCTATTTTTTTTATAATAATTCAATAAGGATTTTGTGCCACCGATATTACAGTGTACGACAGGATGACGTCATATTAACATGTAAAGATCACTGACATTGATTTACTTAAGTGTGAGACGATATTAGTACATTATAATATAACAGTTTTTTCCCATTTAAAAGATGCGAAAGATACTAAAGGGACATTCTAACGCATAAGTCCAAAAAAAAAAAAAAAACTGTACACAAAAAACAAAATAGAAAACTAAGGACTGGGCAACATGAACCCCACCAAAAACCAGGGGTAATCTCAGGTGCTCTGGAAGGATAAACAGGTCTTGTTCCACATGTGGTACCTGTTAAAACAAGTATTCGACCTTGATTTTATTGTTATGAGTTTCTTATATACTTATCTTCATTTAATGTATTTTTTTATGTTACAATTAATTTTAGAAGCCGCGCAATGTTGATATGTTCAACGTAAATAAAGTCACCTTCTTATCTTAACATAAAAATACAAACACAATGTCCAAGGGGAATCTTCTTAAAACGCCAAAGGAAACATTGGTGTCTAAAGAAAATTTTGACAAAACGACATTTTTAAGAAAAAAAACTGGAATAGCAAACGTGCTCAGTACACACAGTCATGCTTTTCAGATTAGGGGAGTTTAAGCGGTCACAAACACATTGATCCCATAACATTCTTTAAATGCATGCACCCCTAAAGTAGAAGCCTGTAATGCGATGTTGTCATATGGTGTTGTCAGTAATATTTCATCTATTTAGTTTTCAGTTATTGTTTAGGATAACACAGACCAGATTTTTAGTTTGAATTGTTCGTAACTTGCATTGTAACAAATTAAGCTGTTAGTTTTTGCTTTTTATTTGTTTCACATTCCTATTGTTAGAGCAAATTCCTAGCTTGATATAAGGTACAGTTTTAACTCATTGCTGGATGCCGTACGTAACCATTAGTTACATATTTCCAAGTCACGTTATCTCTTGTGGATAGTTGTCGTGTTGGCAATTATACCACATCTCATTATTGTTATATTTTTAAATACAGCATAAAAAAATACCACTAGTAATATTTGATTTAGGAAAGTATTTGAAGAGATCCTTCTGATTTTGAAATATTCTGAACTGTATAACTACGTATTATCAGTTAATCGTTGTGATATAATGTGGTAATTGTAGTTCAAGATAATTATTTTATTTCAACAACATAATTTTTCTTTCAGTTTATTGTATAGTATACAGTATACTGGTAATATTACCAAATTCTGGTAATCGTTTGACCACAGAAAATTGATTGAAGTTATTCATGTTATTAAAAACAAACAAAAAAATCAACTTATTCTGCATAGAATAAAATATAAAAAAATCAATTTCTAACTTACAGATACCATGGTTGCTTAACTTATCATTTTTAAAAATGTCAGACTTGGTATTACTTGCCAGTACAAGGCGACCGAAAATAAAAGAAAGATTTAGTTTAGAAATAAATACTCCTGCTACAGATCTTTAAAAGAACGTCTGCGATTGGATTAAGGTTATTCAAGCTTATTTAATGTTTTCGGATCATCATCTCAGATTTCTTTAGTGAATAATTCCATTTTTTCCAGTAATACCATGAAACACCTCTATGGTGATTTTTATCGCTGCTAATCTTTCCTCGTAGATACTCCCCATTCAAATTAGAGTAAGTACAACCTTTATACCACCAAGCCCCAACAGTCCGTTGTGCACATGAGTTTCCTCTGTCCTTTGTACTGAATACAGCACCACTGTTATATGTCATTCCATCTCCTTAAAATAATAACAAACATGATATAACATAAAAACATTTAAATTATGTCTGTTATCATTAATTTATCTTTGTGAGCATTATCTGTGCAACACGTTATCATTTAGTTTCAAGAAGTAAGAATTTTGTTTTAATCTCCTATTTCACAAATACGAAATGTATATAAAATGTACAAAAAGAACAAAAAGAGTGTAATTAGATACACATGATGTAATTTTGAGGCACCTGAATTCTGTTTCGGCAGGATTCGTTTTGGGTAATCTATAGTTTTTATTTTATGAATCGGTATTGTTGTTTGTCTTATCGTCGGTTTGAATTCGGATCATGGCGACATGTGTATTTTGTTTTGTCTTTAGTTGTGATTGTCTCCTTAGTACCTTTTCTCAATGTTTAGTAAGATGTTTTAAAGATATGAATTAACACTAGTATATTTACATATGAACGTATATTGCATAAAAACAAAGATCCCTTCATTTCAAAAAATTTATATAAATTACACAAAAAGTCATATCAAACGAGAGGGAAGATCATCACCAATACCGTTTTGGTGCATATAATACACAATGCGATTTTTCATTTGGTGTCTTTATCCAACCACCAGTTTTTGTCATGGCGTTGTTAGTTTGTCTTCGATTTATGATTTGAATATTCAATTGCTATCTACTGCTTTTCTATTGACATTTAATATTTGGACACCTACATTTGCATATTTAAAATCTGCGTTTCTGTTGAAAATGTCCTAATAAGTTTCCTTCCAAAATTGAGATATACAATCTGCCAATGTCAAAAAAAATTGACATATCTTCATCTGACAACCATATTAATAAAGAATGTTATTTAAGTTGCAGTTTTAGCACAAATGTTACATAAATATAAAAAAAAGGAGATGTGGTATGATTGCCAATGCGACAACTATCCACCAAAGTTCAAATGAAGTGGATGTAAGCACTTGTAAGCAACCGTACGGCCTTCAACAATGAGAAAAATCAATACCATATGGTCGGTTATAAAAGGCCAAGACATGAAAAATATGAAATGATTCAATTGGGACAGTTATGTTACAGCACAACATAAGAACAAACTATCAAAATCAGTTGAAAAAGGCTTAACTCATCAGAACTATACAAAGCAGAACAACATCAAACAAAAACACAGACCGGACGTGGCAGAGTACTTATCCATTCCTCATGCCTAACAACATAATAGACACTTAGCACAGATCTGAGAATACTTGCAGTTACTGATAGGTCGTTCAAAGCCAAGAACAACTAATCAAACAAAATCATGTATCCAATACTAAAATATCAATTGTACACATCCAACATCCAATAGATTTAGTGTTAAGATGTCATTAAAAGTCAGAGAGAAACACAGCCTTTTTCAATGCCGAATTCTAGGTATCGACAGATTGTAGTACAATGAAATAACATATATGTAAAACAATAATATTTAGTATGGTTTTAACTAACTAATAACAAAATCAATATGTTTGCCAATAAAAACAATATTCAAAGATTTAATTACAGTGATAAGTTTACTCTGATCGTATCTAAAGTTTACTGAATAATGTTCCAGCACCTAAAAAAGGACGGTATAGATTTCAAATATGCATTCTAACGAAAGGCAGTTGTCTACTTTTATATATCTAAAAAGTAAAATACGCATGATACAGGATGATTTATGGTCATAGTTTTCTAAATTTTTTGACAAAAAGAAAGACTAAAACATATATAAAATGCAGATGTCTTTTTGTTGTTCTATTTGGAATATCACACTGTATATTTAACTTTAGATACAGTGCTTAATTGCAGATTTATGATCGTCTTTTGAAGTTGTTACTAGATATCATATGTGATTTATTTTTATCCTATTCTTTAATTTCGGCCTGATAAAGTATGATATATGTAACTTAATATTCGAAAAGATGTATTCAACGAAGGATCAGGATGCCAATACGTTTTTTTTTTGGGGTTTCAATAAAAAAATAAAGTATTTATTGTTGTTGCATAAACCGTGGCGGTAAATGTAGGAATAATGTCGTTCGATTTTCCAATAATTAAAAAGTAAAATAACAAAAACATTGAACTATCAAAACCTCAAACACATCAAACGAGTGGAAAGGAACTGTTATATTCCTGACTTAGTACAGGCATTTCCTCATGTAGGAAATGGTGGATGAACCTGGTTTTATAGCTAGCTAAACCTCTCGCATGTATGACAGTCGCATACAATTCCATTATATTTACAACAATGTGTGAACAAAACAACCAGACATTAATTACGAAATGTACCAGAGAAGCGAATACAGCATAATGTAATAATCATTTATATGTAATTTGGAGGACATGAATTCTGTTTTAATTGGACTTGTGTTGCTCAATTTGTAGTTGTATATGTAAGGATTTGGTATTCTTTGTGCTATTGTCGTTTTTAATTTTGGACATGCCGATGTGTGTTTTATATTGGGTTTGATTTTTAATTTTCCCTTGGTACCTTATCTGAATTGAATGATAAATGTTTTTGAAAAATGAATTAAGAATAATGTTTTTATCAATCAATGTATATTGCAAAAAGGCAAAGATCGCTTCATTTTAGCAAGTTTTATATAAATCACACATATCTAAAGAGAGGGAAAGTCATCACTAATATTATTTCGGAGCATAATGCACAATGTCACTTTTCATTTGGTGTCTTATCAAACCATCAGTTTTTGTTTTGCCATGGCATTCATTTGTTAGATTATCTTCGACTAATGAGTTTGAACCTTCACCTAAAATGGTTTACTTTTATAAATTGTAACTTGGATGGAGAGTTGTCTCATTGGCACTCATACCACATCTTCCTATATTTATTGAACATCACATTGGTATCTTCTGCCTCTTATTTTATTGGAACACCTAAATTTGCAGAATTATTTAAAATCCTTTGTTTCTGTTGAAAATTTACTTCTTATCAATTTCCATGCAAAAATCGATATACATAACATCCCCTTCCTAAAGCAAGGCATATATATACTAGTGTATAACAACCATATTCGAAAATAATGGTCTCTAATTCGATGTGTAAGCATTATATTTTGCATCAATGTATGTTGCAAAATCCAAATATAACTTACACGACAGTCGTTAAGTGTAAATTTCACAAAATCATTCTAACCAAATGTAATGTCCCACTGTATTTTGGAATTATTATGTTTATCCTTAACTATTGTCAGCATGTACAAATGCGTAGGATTTCTGCAGAAGTTGTAACAGCACAGACTTTATACATCTTTTATTTTCATATCACTGCTCCAACAGAGGTATGAGGAGGAAAGATTAAAAATGACACTCCGTTAATTTTATGGACACCATCACAAATTGGTTGATCTATACGATGTGTCTGTGTCTAAACTAACTAAAGACATTTTTACAACGTCTTAGATTGTGGTTTACCATCAACGTCGACTGGTCTTCTAAGTACCAAACGTGACCTATTCCCGAATATGACTGTTTTGCTGAGTGTAAATTTGCATTGCTATTAGACGTGTCTCGGTATCCAACATTCATGTATTTAGTTATGAGGTTTCATTTGTCATTCTGGTTGGATGTTGTTTTATGTCTTATCGTTTGTGGTTTTAATTCTATTTTTATTTTCTATATGTATGTAAAAGTAAAGATATTAATCACTTAGTTCATTTACATGATTTTTAGTTTAGAGCAACTATATGCACAGGATTTATTCGTTTTTACACAGTTTTATTTAGGAGAAAAACCGACATGGTTATAAAATACTAATAACTACACCACTACTAACACAATTCTATATTAATATTCTTGTAATGGTTAGAAAACACAATAAATAACACCATTACAAACTTAATCCCAATTTTATATTCTATTTTTAGAAATTTATCTGTGTCGAGACTGTTTGTGGCGTTGATACATTCGTGTGACGCACAGTTCATTATTCTATTGTGCTGTATTTGTGTTCTGTCGTAAATTAATTTTAGGTGTTCGTTGTTATGTTGTGGTTTACATGTTGAAATGTACTATTATATTATTTATTTATGTATTTCTCTGTCTTGAATCTTCTTCCATTTATTTGTACTGTATTCCTGTCACGCGGTATTTTTAACAATGCCATATAAGCGGGAGGTTTGGCTAGCAATAAAACCAGGTTCAACCCACCATTTTTTCTTAAAATTTCTGTACCAAGTCAGGAATATGGCAGTTGTTATCACATAGTCCGTTTCTATGTATGTTGACGTTTGTTTTTGTAGCAGTTCAGTGTTTCTGTTGTTCCGTTTTGTTTCCTCTTATAGTTGATGTGTTTCCCTCAGTTTTGGTTTGTGAGCCGGATTTGTTTCAGTTGAATAGATTTATGACTTTTGAACAGCGGTATACTACTATGATCTTTATTAGTGTTGGAAAAATAAAGTATGATAAACAAACTCATCCAGACTATTAATTTTGTACGAGCGACGCGCGTTTCGTCTACAAAAGACTTATCAGTGGCGCTTGAATAAAAAAGTAAAAAATACAAATCAAGTACGAAGACGAAGAAAACTGGGAACCCGAAATTCCAAAAAGTTTTGCCAAATACGGGTAAGGTTGTCAGTTTTTGTGGTAGAAAATCATTAGTGTTTCGAAAATTTATAAATATAATCCCATCAATGAATAGATATGTCATGTCAACACAAATAAACCAATGTGATCAAACTTTCTCATAAACGTATTTGGTGATCGATCGGGTTGGTAATACGTCTTTTTTAAATTTTGATAAAGTTTAATAAAGTGTTTTTTTGTTTTTTTGTTGTTGTTGCGGACATACTATTATAGTAATCTCAAGGAAACCTACGTAGTGGTAGGGAGTAGTCTCGTGGGATTTCCTAATCATTCAATAGAAAATTGTCTTTGCTTTTCTATCGTTTTTTTTTAAACAGCATAATTTTCGATTAATTTTTTAAATTTTGATAAAGTTTAATAAAGTGTTTTTTTTTTTTTTTGTTGTTGCGGACATACTGTTATAGTAATCTCAAGGAAACCTACGTAGTGGTAGGGAGTAGTCTCGTGGGATTTCCTAATCATTCAATAGAAAATTGTCTTTGCTTTTCTGTCGTTTTTTTTTAAACAGCATAATTTTCGATTTATTTACATTGACATTTTCTGATATCTACCAAAGTCTATTACAGATATTTAGATATTCGGAATACCTTTAGGATTTTTAGAAAAAAGAGAACTAATTCATCAGCATATAATATATATATATATGAGAAAATTAGTTGATATTTCTTCTATTTGAAGTATATGATCGTTGACTTTTTTAAGACCTTATTTATTGTACTTAGTAATACATGTATTATCTTTTGTATAATTACATTGTACAAAATATTGTAAAAAAAAGAAGGATTAAATTTTCTGCTTATCGAACACCTATTTAAGGTAGCTGGGGTGTCTTAATGTTCGACAATAGATTTTTCTTAAACTTCTGTAAAATAATTCTGGGTCTATATTCTTTCAAATTTCAATAAAAAATGGGGGTCACGGATCTTTTTTTTCGTTAAAATAAATTGAAATTAACGAAATCTGGCTTCTTTTATGTTTGTTATATAGGGAAAAAATATTTTTGTTCTTACTGAGGAAATATTTAGTGATATAATTGGCTAAATTTCAATGAGAGAATTGCTTTTCATAAATGCTTCTGAAATATCAAATAATAATAGGGGTCGCGGGCCTTATTTATACACTTTACGACACTTAATGTTTTGAAAGTTTAATCTTTAAAATTTCAAGTTTAAGATATGTGTGTTGTATATTGAATGATACTTGGTAAAAAATTGTTAAACAAAAAAGTATTTTGGCAAAATGCCCAGATGGGATGCTCAGAAAAAGATACCAGATCTACCTTAAAAGGGAAAAAAAACATCTAAAAGGATTGAATTCAACATGAATAGTATTAGATACAAAACAAAGGTAACAAAAAAATGGGGTAGTTTTTAGCAGGAAAAAAAAACCGCAGACTAACGTGGATCAAAGAGAAGAGAAGGATTAAGCTATTTTATTGGGGTTGAAAGTAAGATACAGGAGGAACTTAAGTCCGCCACACGGAATACCTGTTTATCGTAGTTGCACCAATATGTAACATATTTTGACAGTTTTTATCTTTTAACATGTCTAAAATGCTTTTTCTGATAAGGATGATAGTGGAATTACTTCAACTTACATGATAGGTTATGTAAATAGCAACTATTTAGACAGTGTTTTAACCTTTGTTTATTTAAGTAACAGAATGTTTCCTTTATTTTGTAGATGTATCACGGGCTTATTTGCCATAACGTTACACAACTTAAATTTGAATGGAAAATGGGTTTGAACCGACTTCATGTTTTATTTTAATTCTTCATAATTTTAGAACAATTTGACAATATCCCATGCTTTTGGGTTTTTTTTTATCCGAAAGGGATGATTGTCGCATTTTTTAATTGCTCATCTTAAACATGTTAAAGGTCAATTTGTTATGGACGTCGAGTGCGATTTTCCGTAAATCTAATTTCTTCCCTACAGACTGATTTAATGTTAACATTCGGTGTATCTTGAAGTGTATTTAACTATGTTGAAAGATCTGCATAATGACAAATGATCACAACACAAATTATTAAGGCTCTAAGGAAATCATTTAGATTTCCATCGCTTTTGCAAAATGGGTGCAATGCGATGTCATTCGCAAACACGACAAGGAAAGTGGTTGGTGTGGATTTCCTCCAAAGCGTTGAGGAGTGTGAAAACAAAATTCAGACTTTGAAATAATGCTATTGTGATGCAACGAATGTAAACACGTACTGTGGACAGATGCGGGTCACAAATTATGCGCGTACATTACTTTTTATTTTATCAAATTGCTTTTTTTTATTAAGAGTAAACTGGGATGATTTATTCGGATTAACTATCCCGGGTTCCATCCGGAGCAGATTTCATATTGTGAACGCGATTAATATACACGTGAAAATTTGGAATCAAAAGAGCAAAAATATGAAAAAAAGCATTTCCTTCTTTTTTGGGGAATAAAATAGAAAGAAAAATAATGGATTTTGTCTCGTTTTGAATTCTTGGATCCACATGATTTGGAAAACAAATGCATCAGTTTATGTTCGTGCTCATTGGAGTAAAGTGATATTTGGGTAGACTCAACGTTTAATAACATGAAACAATATATTTTCTGTCTATCCTCCCACTGCCAAAAATGGGTAAATAAAGGCAACAGTAGTATACTGCTGTTCAAATAATAGTTTATTTGACGTTGAAACTGATTTTACGCTATTGCTATTATCCCAATTCGACTTAAACAAATTCATTGAAGATGAAGTGAAAGAGGCAATCTTCCTTATAGTTAAATTTAGACGATTAGGAAGATATCAGTTTAATACTAAGCAAACCGAAGAGAGGTTTGTACATGGGAACATCATTTTATGGTTATAGTTACAGATGCAGTAAATACGTAGCCACTTTATTTAATTTCAGTATTTTGGGACATACTAAGCTTTTTTGAAAATATAGTTTTTATAAACACTTTTCATATATATTATATTTATAAAAAACAGGTAATTGGGTCACAAGGTTTACGATAACCATAACGTGCATTTGAACGATCTGGATGCACGAGTGACTCAATTCATAGAATTGTCTGTGTAACTTCATAAAATAAAAAGTTCAACACCGGTTGATGTACTGTTTTCTATAGCTCTGCTTTGGGCAAAGTCGTTCAAATGACCTTACACATGATTTAAGGATGTTTGCTACTCTATTTGTGTGTCAGATAATCGGAATACTCTAGTTTTATCCATGTAATGTCATTAACAATTTTGCCCACTAACCCCTACTTTTCTTTTCATAATTTTATTGGATATAGTTTTAATGGTCATTATGAAAATCTTCTTAAATTCTTGATATTGTTTCATAGTTTTTAAAAGAAGAAGTACTTATACAGTATGTTAAATGGACTAATTTTCCGTTGAATTTTAGAACACGGACCTATCATTTATTTCTGCCTTTTAGGATCCATTATTTATATACTATCAATTTCTAACAGTCTTTTAAAAGCTTGTTGTTTTAAGACAAAGTAGCGAACATCCTTAATTGTACGTTTGAAGAGCATTTGCCGACATTTCTAAATGTTTCCTTTCTTATTTCTATGGATAATACGGAATAATGTACAAACATGACTTTCATTTTTAGCATAAGGGAAAGAAATATATCTGTAAAGATTGTGTTATACAGATCATCTTTAAAATGATGAATTTTCTGTTCAGCAATGTTTTTTTTAATTGTCGATGAACATTGCGTTACTTTTATGTAGGGTTCGTAGGATTTATGAGTCTTAACAATTAACACGATTTTCATCTACTTCTAAGATAATGAAATATTTTTAATTTGATTTTTAAGGTAATTCATCCACGTACAGAATCAGGGTATCATATTTTACATTATTTTTTCTTGTTTTCAGATAACCATCAAATCTGTAAAATGCGTTATTTTAAAATGTTTTTTTATTACTGTAACGGAACTCACAGTTTCTTTTTTATTCTATTTAAAAAAAAAAAATCTAGAGACTGAATTGAATCGGCCTACTTGAAAGGTATGTCTATCCTATATGAAATTATTTACCCCTGTGAATATATCTTGTTCTATGATGAGTACAAAATTACAAAGCATCTTAAAGATTGTACACGGCACGTTTCTTGCATGCCTTTGCGAAGTAAAAAAATCAGTGCGCACCTTTCGATCGTGTCATTCCTGTTACCAACATTTTATTAGTAATAACAATATAATTATATTAAAAAAAAAGCATTAACGTTTTTGGAAACCAAGACGACAAAAGAATAACCATTTTCAAAGCAAAAAGGGAACACAGAGTTAAGGTAAATATCTTGGAAAACTTATGATAAATATACATGCTTTATTCTTTTATAGTACATATCAAGATTTAAGTAAATCACATGTGATTAAATACCTGCAGTGCCATTGTATCCTCCGATCGTCAATTTATAACTAGAGTCTTCGTTTCCCAAACTGAAAGTATTATATGTAGCATATCTCGTATCACCATTCCAGTCCTCTAGTGTAATTCGTAGCTGATAATTTCCTTCTGACGTGTGTTTGTAAACGTGTTCATTACCTAGATAAAATGTGTGCAAATGTTAAGAAACTGTTAAAAAAAATAATATTTTTTAAAGTGTTATGATTAACTTTTTATTGATTACTTCAAATTGTTGATAATGGACTATTTGTAATACCCTAATGAAATGAAGAACAATACTTTATCACTTTTCCAAAATAAAAAAAACAAAACAAAAAACGAAAAAACATGTCACTGCCTACAATTTTATATGGATATTTTTTATAACGAAAGTATAGTATTTTAAGATTAATTACCAAGCCAAAATTCTCCTGTCAGTCTACCGAAACCATTTTTATAGTCTTCCCATCCGCGGTAAAAATCCACACTACCGTCTTGTCTTCTTTGTAAAACCTTAAACAATAACATTATATCAAAACAAAATAAGTTCTGACATCTAGCAAATTATTCCGCTCAGAGCAGTGGTTGGAATTGTCTTAAAATTGCTGTACGGAAGACCCTCTTTTCTTTTTGTTGAAGACAGCACTTTAATTTTGAGACGAAGAACGTTTCTATTAATGTGACATGTTTTCGTTCTTAATGAAGTTTCAAATGCATTTGATAAAATTATAAAAATAAAACAAAGCATTTAAGATGTTATCGCATCATCTATGATGTACGATTCAAACTAACATGAAGGAAGCGGAAGAAAGAAAGTAAATTACATATATAATACATTTACTATTTGATATAAAAGATATTAGTAAACATGTTCAAATTAACACTAAAAACTTACTGTCCAACCTCCACCATCAATATCCATATTGCAGTAAACTGGGAATGGCGATACACCTTTTGGACTCACACTGTAAACGCCATTTGGGCAGCCTTTTCCTTTCAAATCACCACAATCTTGTAAAACTTTCCCGCATGGTAGTTGATCGCCTTGAATTAATTTAAATTTGTTGTTGCAATTTGAAACACACACTAATATATTACCAAACACACTACTATATAATTAAACACACTTATATCAATATACTGTAATTGAAATGATTTTACTGGTTGAAATTTCCAATACTGAAAATGAGTTTTACAAAAAAGTAGAAATATGACTTACATTTCATAAGCTGTCAATGCTTACAAATAATAACAAAGTAAAATACAAGATGTTTCAATTGATGACATGACTTGTTTTTGCTTACGTTGATTTGCTATGATTTGTTGAACTTCCTGCAGTGAGTTCCGGAAAGACTTCATCTCTGAAAAATATTGATAAACATTATTAATTTTATCTTTTACACTCAATTACCGTAGTTTTTTGTAAAGGAACCCCTATATAATATTATCTGCAAATTCACTATAAAATGGAGAAAATACTGTATGATTGAATACAGATAAATATTGTGAGTGTATGTGTAATTATTTTTTATGTTCTTTGTATATGTATATCAGAATATTACGTTCAAAGTATAGTACTTTGGCTCGTTCAACTATATCTGAAAGTCGAAAAATATAATGCATTGATTTCTTTTAACTTCCTATAAATATAAGACTATTGAATTGATGCTTTAATTTGAAAATAGATGAACATTTGTATAGAAGGCATAAAAAATCGGCATAAAACGTTCTAGAATCTGTTTTGAAATCATCAAACATTTTGTCAAATGTCAAATTACCAATACAAAGATATTCTTAAAATGGATAGGTTTTTAATACACAAAACGATAGTATCTGCAAGTTCTCTATCTCAGTAAGTTTTGTATGTTTTAACAAAGCAAATTTTGTAATAGATTTCCATTTGAATGATGTAAAATAACCATCTGATCACCGACTTCGTTTTCTATTTTATAAATCATTCAAAGTTGTGTTGTAGGTGAAAAAAATTTCAACACAACGTCGAAAAAAGCTTTTAACGTTATCAGCCGTAAAGCGTCGATTTTTGACGTTTTGTACTACATGTATCAACTAGATGACAAATTGGTTAATACACCAAGAAATAAGTCGATGATCCTATGACTACTTACACATAAACTTTTTTTTTTCAAAATTGTTATTTATCAATAGTTTAACGAGCAAAAGTTGTATGCCAAATATATGACATACATGTAACCCGTTACCTGTTCATTGACATTAAAACAATATGTTTTTATATCTAAAGCACGTTATGTAGTTTTGGTTTGTTTCTAATGATTATATTTTTTTCATACATGTAACTACACACTATATAAGTAACACATATTTTGATTGGCTTATATAATTCAAGTCAGTTCCCTTTTTTCAGTTCGATATTTAGTAAACATACAAAGTTTAACTGTCTTTATGCGTATAGATGAAAGTTAATCATCAACATATATATCACTTGATTATAATACTTGAAAACAAATTATCTTGCATCCTTTACCTGCTGTACGGTTTCTTAATATTTGATAAACTTTACTATATTACTTGAACTGTACAATGCCAGCATTGAAAGGTCTTCAAATGTAACTTACGTATTGATAATCAAATATTTGATGTTATTGACCACCCACACAAATGCAAAAAAAAAAAAAACTCAAACTTTGGATTATAATTTGGCAATATCTCATGTTAGAAATTAACAGTTAAAGAAGGGTATCAATCAACAACAAAAAAAACAAAATCAGTTCGACCATATGATCTTTATGCCAAGATTATTTTTCATTAACAGCATAACCGTTTCCTCGAATGTTACCTAACGCATTAGACTTATTACCGGATTTGTTCTCAATTGAGAAATACAACGGGAGCCACATGTGTAGCAAGATCTGCATAACTTTCCGGAGCACCTGCGATCTACCCTGCTTTTCGGTCGGGTTCGTTTTGCTCAGTCTTTAGTGTTCTATGTTGTGTTTTGTATACTGTTGTTTGCTTTTTGGTCCTATTCTTTTTTTCCAAGGCGTTGTCATTTAAATTTCAACTTATGAGTTTGAATGTCACTTTGGTATCTTACGTCTCCATTTTGTGATCTTTTAAAAAAATATCTGTCATTATTACTAGTATTTACTATTGAGTAATAATTTATTCATCGATAGCATGTTGTTATTGTATGAAAAGAGAGACGAAGAATACCAAAAGGATATTCAAACTCAGTCGAAAATAAACTGACAACGCCATGGATAAAATAGAAAACAGACAAACAACATTACACAAAACACAACATAGAAAAGCAAAGACTATGTAACACGAACCCCACTGGTGCGCTGGAAGAGTAAGCAGATCCTGCTTCACATGTGGAACCGTCGTGTTGTTCTTGTTAGTACAAACCCGGTGATAAGTCTAATTTAGTAGGTCACATTCAACTTCACCGCTTAAAACTATTGGTTTAATATTTTCCTTGTGAATAGCAACTTTTTTTAAAGGACATCATGATAGAAAAAAACAAGCCCTGGACCACCCTCACATGTGCCACACAAAACTAACTTTGGATTGCAACTGGGCAGTATCTCATGTTAACAGTTAAAGAAGGGTATCAATAAACAAAAAACCCAAAATCAGTTCGTCAATTATATTTCTGTGCCAAGAATTTTCATTTTATTAACACCAAAACCTTTTCCCCAAATGTACATAGACATATTACTGGATGTTTTTCTCAAATTCCGTAGCACCTGCAATCACCCCCAGTTTTTGGAAAGAGTTGTGTTCTTTAGTTTAATATGTTGTGTTTTGTCTACTGTTGTTTTTTTTTTTGGTGGTATTTTTGTTTTGCCATGGCTTTTTCAGTTTATTTTCGACTTTGAGTTTGAATGTCCCTTTGGTATCTTACGTCTGTATTTTAAGATCATTTTAAAGGATCTTTCAATATTACTACTATTCACTATAATTCAGAAATAATTTACTATTTGCCACAGGAGGTTAAACACCAGCCATTCGTCATGTTTTGGCTTGCAATACGTTTATTTCACATGGAAACACATGTCCCTTTTTTATACATGACAATATACAACTAATGATTGACATTTTTAAACTATCGATGATACTGTTATATAATCCAGTGAATAAAAGTAGATGTGGTGAAGACGTCTATCAGATAGATAGCAATCGAAGGACACAAATAACTCAAAAATATCAAAAAGTCAACTTTTAACAATATATTAGTGTCAATACAATATGCTAAGCCCTAAATATTTTGATGCTATATTTTATTTTGTGAAGTAAAATGATATCACGATGAAAAAAAAAAAAGAAATAATTTATTCATCGATCACATGTTGCTGTTTTAAATTATGAATGACGAACTTCCACCTACGACGAAATTACACTTTAAAATTTATCAACGGACGTTTATGAACTCGCACGGCACAAATTAGGTTCATGTGGTCTCACTTTCTTGTCTTGAATATGAATTTAATTTGCAACTGGGCGTTAAAAAGCCACACATCCATATATAATACCACATCTCCTTACTTTTATATACAATGTAGCCAATGCATTACCTTATTTTCAAAGTATAAAGATGCTGATATCTGTAGTATTTTAGGGGCACAAAAGATACTAATATGATAATCGTATATATTCATACACAGTTCCATTTTAATGTGGATTGTAAAGATAAGATTCATGTGTGTGCTGGTTTTTTGTTGTTTTTTGGGAGGGAGATTCAAAGGACTGGTATGCAATTATTCATGCGAAACACGATAATCTACGTGCATTTTCCTTTAAAGAGAATTCGATATAGATTCTAATCTTTTGACAAAGACGTACCAGAATATCTCAAAAAAATAGAATTGAAATTGCTATAACCAAAATCAAACCAAATCATGTACAAGTGAACCTACCAATAGGAGACCAAGCTCCCCGCCCCTCCCACGAAAAAAAGGTACACTTACTGGATAAATATGGACACGACCGAGTCACTTTATTTATGTTCGCACAAAGCGATGCTCGTCTCCTACCGCCATCACGGAACGCTCCTAACCTTCGCAAATATGTCCCTTTGAAAGATATCTCTGCTGTTTGTTTATTGTGCAGGTATAACATGTAAACAATTTGTATGAACGAGTCCATTTGGTCAAATGTGGCAGCCATTTCATATATGTATACTCTGAACATACTTGTAAATGTGTGTAGCAGTCACGATCACATGCAACCAAACGTGTATGAACATGTGCGTGTAATATTCGTCGCTGGAATACAAAGGTTCGGCCTCCCCGACATAAAACAGTGTATCTACTTTAAATATAATTGAAATTATAATGTTTAGTTTTGACATTAGACTTATAATTCAGTTCGACTGTACATTATTTCAAAATTAAATCTGATTGAAGTTTTCCTATAATAAACTGCATACATTTATCTCTATATAAATTGATCACTAATTTACTTTTTAGATGTATTCTACGGCACTGAACAAAATTACTGTATGATACGTGTGATATGTTGTTTGTTTTATTTCATGATGCATGACCCAGTAAAATATGCCGTAAAGAATGTTAAACCCTTACTCATGATACTGTATTAAACATAATTTTACATGTACATACAGGTTTGCAGTATTTAATTTTGGCATTATATTTAACACTTTTTAGTGAATCAATATTTGCAACTTAGAAAATCCGCTATTGAAAGTAATTGCAAATGACATTTTGCAATTAATAAATGTTAATATTTCAAATAAAAGTGTTTTTGTATTAAAACGGTTTTATATATATGTAAAATATTATGTTAAAAGTCATTTTATCAAAATAAAGACATTTACACATGTACACGAAGTTTATTTTATGATTTACACAATGAGTTAACTCGAAAAGTAAACGCACGTAGAAAATACACTTGTGTAATCTGTAGGAAACGCTCGTTCGCTTTCAAGTGCAAGTAAAAATAAACTTGTGAAATCTGAAGTAAA